GTCATGCGTATCTTTCAGTGAAGCACGGTTCTGTGATCAGTAGTAAATCTCCAAAGGCCAGAGGGCGCTTTCTTCGATTTCAGAATCGCGCAATAAAATCGTCTTACGATTTTTTTGCGTAACTTGTCAGTGAACTACGGCTATGTGTAGTAAATTCTGCTCCATCTGAAAGCACGTGATGATGATTTCCTGCTGATTACAGAACCGGCTTTTTTAACAAAATGCGCATGACAATCGCATTCGATTAATCGTGCAGCCCTAGACTCTAATATTAAATGTATATCCTGAGAAAATTTGTTTTCTGACTCTAGATGCATTTAAACCTGTTGTAGGGGACTCCAACACAATATTAGGACACTTTAAAATACCATATGACCTGCTCTTTAAAGATGGAGGAGAAAATTAGGAGTTTTTAACCGAAGTACAAAGACGAGGAACTAACCACACGTAGCCTTTCTAACAGGATTACGTAATGTGTGAAGACGTGCATGCGCATCACAGAGCTAGAGCAAGCTGAGCATTTGTGGTTACAAAGTGTATAAATATTGATTTGTTAAAGAAAATGACCAATCATTTTGCTAGATAAGACTCTTATTCCTCGGCTGGAATCGTGTAGAGCCCTTTGAAGCTGCATTGAAACTGAAATTCTAACCTTCAATCCGTTGATCCCCAATGAAGTCCACTATATGGAGTAAAATCCTGGAATGTTTTCTTCAAAAAACTTAATTTCTTTGCGACTGAAGAAAGAAATACATGGACATCTTGGATCACATGGAAGTGAGTAAATTATCAGGAAATTTTGATTCTGAACTTATCCTTTAAGACATTGTGGAAAATGTGTATATCTTTTATTTTTAATGTGTATATCATAATGTATTCTCTTGAAAATTCTTTATTGTCAAATGTGTGTTGAATTTAAACTCCTCTTAGGAATTTCACCATTCAATGTGAATTTATCTGAGAATATTCTTAAGAAAATCTATTCAGTGCCTATGTCGTCATCCAAAATCCCGTTTGTGGCACAGCAGTGTCGTGAATCATCTCTAGACTGACACTTAAGATTTAGTCCTACACTTCACTTAAATTATGACTGAGATGCTTGATAACTAACCTTTAAGCACAGCTTTGAGCCAATAATTTTTTTAAGGGGTCATATGATGCTTTTTTAAAGATCATTATTTGGTGTATTTGGTGTAACAGAATATGGTGGCATGCTTTAATGTTCAAAAACTGGGGAGAGCTCCAGGAACATGGTTGAGAGCCACTGCATTAAATAATACAAAACTTTTGACTTTAATAATTATTTTATTAAAGCGTTATTAGCGTTATTAAATGCTGAAATTTTGTGCTGGGCGGTATGACCAAAAATTTATATCACGGTATTTTTCAAGCATCTATCAGGGGGGCCCACCGGCCTCCGGTTTTCATCTTTTTGAATCATCGCTCTGGCCTGACAGGGCATCATCACAGTGTGGTAGGGGCGTAACATTTCTTTAACCTTAAACCGCATAAACACATTTCATTACACCAAATACACAAAATAATGTTATTTTTAGCAACATCATATGACCCCTTTAAAAAATGTCAAAAGGCAAGGTAATTCAAATTCAAAATGACTGAAGGTATAACACCAGTCGACTATTATTAACTATGTTCTGTAAAAACAACAGCAGCTTTCAGCCTGTCACCATGATGCAAACATGAAATATCAGACATACAATAGTAGTTCTTTACAGGTTTTTTATTAGATTACGCTGCTTTTCCATTGTTTTTTCTGTGTAAACATGGATGTGTTTGACTGTTGCGCTCGCGTCTCTTGCAGCGTCTATTGCATGAAACGCCA